ACCTGGATGCCCGTGCGGCTCTATAATGCACCACCTTCATCCCAACTGATGCCCTTCCTCCTGCATACCAGAAGGGATCAAAGCACGGCCAATATTAGCCCAATTCTTAGGTTACAGCGTAGGGATCATTCCTGCTAATAGCGATCTGCAATTTTAGTGCGAAAAGGCATGATCGCACCGGGGAGCCTTGTGCGCTCCAGCTTGGGTTTTTCTAGTTTAAATAACTTTTGCAGATTCTAAATATTATAACTGTCTCAATGCTAACATTTGGTGCTCATTCTGTTAATTTGAAAGCTGTAGCTGACATCGTCATACCACTGCTTGCGGATCCAAAGCGACGTGTCAGGTATGTATCAAGGCTTGTGACTGACCTACGCATAATTTATGACGATTAAAAGAAGATGAAGAATGATACAGTTTCATAGGCTTAGCTTTTAATGTATTCATGAACCGAATAATTCTTTTTGCAGATTAGCAGCGTTTGAACTGTTCGCCGTGCTTGCTCAATTGTTCAACGGGTCCACTGAAAGTTTGCTGAAATCGGTCGCGGACTTTGAACAAAAACATCGGGCGTATGGCCTTTTTAGTGCCGTCAAAGTAAATGATTATATTATTTTCATTCCTTCGCACTCTCTGCACAAATAGCTTCTTTTGGATTAACTACCACTCGAGTTCTCCGGAAAAATTGCAAAAATACAATACAATATATTTTCAACCTCCCAGAATCCATTGTGTTTTACAAGGTGCCATTTAGAGCATAGCTGATCTTACTCGCAACCTGGTATGATACTAACTGGAGCCCATTAAATTAGCTAGGCGGAACTGTTTAGCTTTGAAATGGAATAAGTTTGTTTTTTTTTAAGGTCTAGGAAATTTCTGTTTGTTCTTTTATCAAACAAATCAAAATCCAGAGCATTCTGCCCTTGCACCAATTTGTTTCCCATCTAGCCAAAATTCTTTGGTCTCTCCGACTCATTCCATACAAATTCTTGTACTATGCAGTTGCTATTTAGGACACACTTTACGGAAAATTTTTTAGCAAATTAAAAAGTTTTCTCTTATTTCA